TATGTCCAAATTCCCTATACAATCTTAAATGATTCCCTTTGAGCTAAATTGACCTGTTTCCCTTACAGTAGTAAGGACATTGGTAAAATAGTCCATGTGACATCAGTGGCTCAACTTCAATTTTGCGAAGCTACGAGAATTTTTTGAATTTTTTTGTGCACAAAGATTTATTCATGATTTGAATAATGATTTAATGATACATGATTTATTCAACTATTCTTCTCCCCGAGTTACTGTCTTCCACCATTTTGGAAAGTACCATGACGCATACGCGTGTTTTACCCAGAACGTAATCAGCGTTGTTTACGTTTTGTTTTCTTTGAGCACAAAAAAAATTTTCGTTGATGTTGAGCCACTGATGTCACGTGGACTGTTTTATCGATCTCCTTGCTACGTTTCTGGACTTGGGAACATTTCAGTTGTGTTGCTGTCTTTGCAGGGTCGGAAAGCTCTCGGATTTCATCAAAAATATCTTAATTTGTGTTCTGAAGATAATGAAGGTCTTACGGGTTTGGAACGACATGAGGGTGAGTAATTAATGACAGAATTTTCATTTTTGGGTGAACTAACCCTTTAAATGTACCAAATTTTAGAAATATCCTTATATAGTATTATATTTAAAATATTAAATATTATGGATTATTATTATCAATAAATATTACTATATATAAATTATATTTAAATCATGTATTACTTTCATATTTTCAAATATGTTTTCTTTGAACAATATGTCAGTTCAAGACATTCACAGACCGCCAGTGGGGTTGAAAGAGTCATCAGAAGAATCATTTCACATAAACACAAAACATGTACTGTATCTAGTTGAATATGAAGTGTTTGACATGAGTCTTATCTCTGGTTATGTTCTTGTGAAACAGAGCTCTATGCTGCCACCTGGTGGCCAGAGCATGACCAGAGACGTACAGTCTGCACATAGCAATATGCTGCAGGAAAATACATTTCTTGTCTGTTTTACACATCCACCTTTTTGTACTGTACAGATGTTATATGCAGGGTTCTGGATATATTTAAGCAAAAATATGTAAGTATGTGAAATTATTTGATTTTAACAGCCTGTTACCAAAAAAGCAATATTACTTAATTTATATAGCGTAAGAGTTACTACACATCAGTGTTATTTTACTGTTATTTATTTATTGTTATATTATTTATTATTTTAAATTAGCCTTTATTTTTATATATATTTTTTAGAAGTTTTAATTTTAGTTCAAGTTTGAGTAATTTTGTGCTTCTATCATTTTTAGTTTTTTTTTATCATTTATATTTATATTTATTAATTTTTTTACCTGTTTTAGTAAATTTAGTACTTCAACTTAAACTATCAAGAGAGTAAATGTTTAATCAATATAAATTAATATTATAAATTACGATATTCCACAAATTATAAACCTGATATTAATTGCTACAAATAAACATTATAAAATAAATACATTTACATATACATTTATATATACAAAATTGTACTAAAACATGTTCAAACATTCTATTCTATTCAACAAATTTAAGACAATCCTTGAGAAAATAAAATAAACTTAATTGAAATGAAAAAGAGTGATTGAGAAAGAAAAAGACTGATGAAAAAGAAAAAGAAAGAAAGAAAGAAAGAAAGAAAGAAAGAAAGAAAAAGAAAATACATGTAGTGATTGCCCGTACAAAACTCTTGGATGGTTGCTATGCTGTAATTTATTTAAATGCCCATAAATGACTGATAAATAACTGAATAATTAAGTCATTTATTTATTTAGCTGGATTCAAAGCTGTGTTGTCCACGAGTAACACGTCTCAGTTTATCAGAGCGTTTAGGTTAATGTCTAATTTCATGGCCGATGTCAGGTGTCCAAATGTGTTTAGTTTCATTTAATCTGCAAATGATCCTGCAGGAATTACCTTGCTGAAGACTGTTTTGACGTAGATGGGAAGATCTCCATGTGGACTCCCAAAGCCGCCCACAATGCTGAAGCCCAGCCCCTCTGAGCCCTTCTCCAGAATGATGGTCTTTGGCTTGGGCGTCCTGTCCATATGACACACACAGAAAATAAAATCAGATATATAATAAACGGAGAATTCTGTAACGGAATGTTTAAGGTCAAACAGGAAGTGGGAGTCTTGTTGCCATGGTGATGTCACTCACTCTGGTTCCACCGGCCGGACCTCTGGATTGGTGCTGGGGGTGGAGCTACTGGACAGACTCTCCACCTGACTGGCTATGGCACTGATGTTGGTGTCGGCAACCACCTGTCAATCACAGACGGACACTGTCAAACATTTAAAGCAAATAAATGACTCGGTCTTGAAAGTGTGCTTTCTTCCATTTAGATGTGTGTGTTTTCACAAATGACTGTCTGCCTGTAGATAACAGGAAACTACTCTCTATGTTGTGTGTGTTTGGCATTGAAATGTATGCGGCCAATCCTTTAATGTTCTTCTTGGCGACTGTTGGCGACCGATCGCTCAGCCGCTGTTCATCAAACCTCTGTCTCCCTCATCAGAATCAAAAATGCCTTTTTCTGTCATGTTTCATTTAAATTTTCCTCTTCCATTAAACTCTGGGCTGGCTACGAGGGCAGTGGCATATTAATTTGCATATTTAATTAACGGCAAAGCAATTAAAAGTAAAATACACAACAATAAACAAAAGCTAATTAATGAATGAGTCCACAACAACAGGGAAACACTCCCAAGTCATCACACTCGCTATCTTCACCTACACCTACTGAGAGAAAGAAAGAAAGAGACCGACAGAAAAGAAAAAAGGCTAATAAAAAAAAAAGAAAAAAAGAAAGTGAGAAAAGAAAGAGTGAGAAAAGAAAAAGAAAGGCTGAAAAAAGAAAGAGAGAGATAAAAGAAAGTGAGAAAAAAAGAGAAATATAAATAAATATCTAAAAACAGAGGGACACTGATAAAAAAAGAAAAATGAAAGCAGCTGAAAAAAGAAAAAAGAAGAGACAAAAGAGTGATAAAAGAGCGGGGAAACAAGAAAAGAGATAAACAGAAATAAATAAAAGGATAAAGAAAGAAAAAAGAAGTGTGTTAAAAGAGAATGAGAACGAAGAAAGGGAAGTAAAGAATGAAAGGAGGAAGACAAGAAATAAAGAAAAAAAAGAAAGAAGGGAAAGAAAGAAAGAAAGAAAGAAAGAAAATGGTTTGTTGCTAGGGTATGCTCTTAAATGCCAATAAATGACTGATAAAACCAATTTATTAAACACGACTTATTTAACGGCCAGGCCACTGTGATGCAGTTGCTAGATGGTGTTCTGGGTTTCTGAGAAGTTTTAGTATGTTGCTAAGCCACTAATTGGAGTGGTTTATAGCACAGGTAGGGCTCAACCTTTTTTCCCTTACACTCCGACATGCCCTTTTTTTGGTGGCGGTGTTTTTTTTGTTTTTTCTTCAAAAAATCAATGCTATTGGTCACCCTTTACATTTATCTGCCTGTTTTACAAATATTTAGCCAGTGAGAGGTATTAAAAAGAGCTTATAACTAAATCTTGTTGGTCAGTAAAATCTCATAACTCCCTCTATCTTGACTGAATGAACTGAAGTTCCACAGCAGCTGAACGAAGTCTTGCAAGGGTAAATAAAGATCTTGTTGTTTGAATAAGTACAGCATTTTCGTTACGCAAGAAACACTATGTCTATAAATGCTCATATGTTATGTATTTGAGGTCTGATACGTGTGGGACGTGTGGGACCGGAGAGAGAGGGCTAGCATTTGCCATCCAGTCCAATACACTTAAAGAACCTATTCATACAGCATTTCATCTCTTTTATAAAATTAGATTTTGGCCAAATGTATTTTACAACAGGAAAAACTGAGCACCCATATAGCCACAACAAACTTTGTAACCTGTTGATGGAAACATAATGCGATGCCGCCGTTTTATTGACGGACAAAATGCACATTTCCATACATTCGCTGATCAAAAACCCCGTAACTGCATTTGAGTTTGACACAAAGCGACTGAGTGATCCTCGTCACCTAGGTAAAATATATTTCTAAAAAAATTATTTGATTTATTATTGTTGATACACTTATTTTATTAACATGTAATCATATTATATGGTCGCATGGTTCATGTTTACGCTGTTAATATGCACGTAGCTAGCTAATTTCTTAATCTCATACTCTATACTCCCCACTCTTCGTCACATGTATAAATGTAGTAAAACATGGTTTTAAGTAATGTTTTAGTAATTAAAAATAAAACATTACAGAATCAGATCACTGTGAAATCTTTATATTTTATCATGCAGAATGTAGTAGTATTCTGTATATATATATATATATATATATATAGGGGAGAGCTCTGGTACAATTCAAACGTTTCACTACAACTGTACTTTTCACAATATTTTATAAATTTTTCATTGCTGGCCTACTTTAGACCCTCATGAGACCAACATCCCTGGTCCTCCACAGTATCAAGTTTTTGCCAGGTATGCGGATACATGTTGGATATGCAATAGGCCTAGTGACGGTATGTAGTGACGGAATTGTGTTGGACATAATTATTTAAATTATATTACAAAATAGTTTGACAAAAATGCTTGACTCATTGCTTTACCTTCCACTTTTCTCAATGACATACATAAACATGTTAACCAAATAATACAAATTAGCTTATAAAACCAAACAGAATAGCTAAAAAATATTTTTCTTCAAACTGTATTATTATTATGACTATTAATAGTGAATAAATCTAAAGCTTTTGAGACTATTATTTTGTGTTATTTAATTTGTCATTAAGATGTGACCAAAAAAAGGGGGGGGGTTTTCAGTTTCAGCACATGCCCCTCAAAAGGTCTGTGCACGGTCCTGGTTCATAGAAAATTACATTGTGGCTACTAATCTGTTGCTAGGGTGTTCTGAGTAGTTGCCAGGGCACTGAAATGCAATGCAATTTCTGAATGTTCCAAGCAGTATTTACTATATTGCTATGCCACTGTTAAGGCATGGCATGCTGTTGCTAGGGTGTTCTGAGTTCTGATGTTTGCGTTTGTGAAAATGGAAAATATACATACATACATACATATACAGTGGGTACGGAAAGTATTCAGACCCCCTTAAATTTTTCACTCTTTGTTATATT